GGTAAAAGTGCCAGTCATACCCGTCGAGGGGGGAGCCAAGGAAGACACAAGGGACGGTGCGGGTAGTGAGCTTGTCCGTGCCGGAGTCACGAATGTGAGAGAGGTAGCCCCAGACGTGGAACACAGATACGTCACTAGGGGACCCGGTCTAGAGAAGGGTCGGCGAAACTTACGGCCGCTAGGAGTGTGGCCACAGGTTAAGCTGGTGAGCGGTGTAGCGAACAACGAACAACCATAGAAAATGGGGTGCACCGGACGAGCCCCCTCCATGACCAAACCAATGCGTCGCTCAGCAACCCCATTCTACTGCGGGAAGTCCGGCAGGGTGTACGACTGGGTGATGCCCCCCGCACAACAGATTTGGCCAAGCCGACCGAAGGCGAACTCACCGCCACGGTCGGAGTGGAGACGGAGCACTGGCAGGGCGCGGTGGATACGCGCAGAGAAAAGCCACAGGATTAGAGCGGCAGGAACGTTGGCCTTCCTCTCTAGGGGAAACACCGTGGTGTAGCGCATGTAGTCGTCTATGAGCACCAGAAAGTAGAGCTCGCGACGCGGCCGAAGGACGGGGGCTGGGCCCCAGATGTCCAGGTGTAGGGCTTGAAGTGGCGCATTGGTGGGGGGAAACGAGGACGAGTGAGGAGCACGGCGCAGCCGGCCCTCGACGCAAGGCGTGAACGGAGGCGCGAGCGAGGGAGGGAGGGCAGGGAGCGACGCAGGGAGACCTAAGATAAGACCATGCTGTGACATGTGACACAGCCACGGAAGTGCAGGGTGACCTAGATGGTGGTGCCACAGAAGTGATGGGTGAGTGAGGGACCAACATGTGCAAGCTGCAGCGACCTGAGTGCCACCTGAGAGGACGCTCCTACCAGGGGGGACGTGGTGTCCAGCGTGAACAGGCCAGACACCGTGTCCCCAGGGAACGTGGTGAGGGGGACACCAGTGGCGGCCTCGGTACAGACTGTGTACCGCTCGTGTCCAGGGAACGTAGTGGTGACGCCGATGTCCTGAAGACAGCCGACACCAACTAGGTTCCTGGAGAACGAGGGGATGTGCAAGCCTGTAAGGGAGCCCGATGAAACCGCCGGACAGGGAAGGGTGGTGGAGCTACGTGCAACTACTGGACTTGCGGAGGGGTCAGCAAGCGCGACAGCTTCACGGGCGTCAAGCGGTGTGAGCACAGTGTGGTCGCAAAAGAAGCTGGCGGACGCACCAGATTCCAGCGTGAAGGAGAGCGCGGCGGTAGCGTCAGCCGGCGGAGAGACTAGGGTGGAGTCGAGGCTAAACAAGGCAGGAGGTCCTATGCCTGAGGCAGCAGGGGAGCCTAGACTTCACATAGTGAACACAGCTATAATAGGCAATGCAGGGTAAGAAGGTCTTATCACACTAGAGTCATCAGCATACATGGCATACAAAGCAGACCTAATATGATCCATATCCATCTCAAAGACCGGCACACGGTGACGTACCAGGTTGTGCCAGTCGGGGAGGTCCAGCGTGGGCCTAAAACGGAGATGGAAGATGTCGTCGTGGTGGCGATAGCAGCGGGCATCGTTGTGACCGGAACGATCGCACATAGTGCTACGACGGGGGTCGGTCTAAAGCTGGTACTGACAAGTCATCGCACCTGAGCCGGCACTTGACGCCGAGCTGCGCGAGCTGCCACCGCGGCTGACGGCACCAAAGCCGCCAGGCCGCCACGGCGGCGGGGGTTCCCACGGCTGCAGATGCTGCAACTACAGCTACTGCTAGTGCTGCTGCAGCCCCTGCTGCTACTCTGGGGCATCAGCCACGGCCCCCTCGTCTGTACCGGTACTCGCACCACCTACACCACCTCTGCCACCCTTCCCTCTGCCACGCCCCCCCCTGAGGCAGTGGCCCTTACCCTGACGAGGATGCGCTGAGGCCGCCGCAGCGGTCTCAGTTATAGGGGCTGTCTCAGCGACATCGACAGAAATGCAAAGTAATTGCACTGGGAGGGAGCACAGCCCTGGAAGATAGGGACCGGCGCAGTACCGCTATACTAAGCAATAGTGCACTGGCGGGTCTCTATCGCGGACAGGGCGGTGACAAAGACAGTAAGGGTGAGGTCAGCGGGGTGGAGAGAAAGGAAGTGGTCACGAGCAGTGGCGAGGAGGTTGGAAAGGCGCGTAGCAAGGAAGTATAGGGTAGCGCTGAGGGGGGAAGGCAGTACAGTGAGCTGGGCCTCTGTGCTAGCAGCGCGGTAGCTAGTCTCGAGTGCACACAGGTGAGTGGTAAGATCAGCGATAGTGGGGAAGGACGCAAGATCAGGGAAGAGCAGGGGAAGAAGGAGATGGCCAACAGAGGCGGAGGAGGGGGTGGAATAGCACGCAATGACGGCCTTTAGGTACTCCTTGGCAGTCTTTACAAGTTGAAAGCGGGGACGCTTGGACAGGGGGAGGGCGTGACTGATGGCAAGCTGCGTAACTATGTTGCGTGACTCCCAGACAGAGCGGGGGAGCTGAGCAACGACGAAGGCCTCACGCTCAGCAGGCGTGGGGGCGTCAGGGAGGACAGCAGGTGGGTCGGGTCATGGGAGCTTACCGTCGACGTGGACGGCGTAACACTAGCCGTCCTGACGCTGACCCTTCAGCTGGCGGAAGAGGTTGGCGAGCCACACCTCGAAGTCGACCGTCCGACCCTCCGCATCCAGGTGGAGCAGAGCATTCACCATCACCCACGACTACAGCAGCACGGCGACACAGCGGCACGGCAGCGGCGAACGGCGAGCTAGGGCCCAACGGGCTAGGGCTCGCACGGCGCGCGAAAGGCCAGCGGCGAGCTAGGGGCCAGTGGACGAGCTAGGTGCCAGCGGGCAAGGGGTCGCGCGGCGCGCGAAGGGCCTGCGGCAAGCTAAGGGCCAGCGGGTGAGCTAGGGGCCAGGGCGGAAGCACGGGGCCATGGCTAGCAGGGGCCGTCGCGGCGAGACAGGGCCGCATGGTGAGCTGAGGCCGTCGTTGCAGGCTAGGGCAGCGTGACAAGACTAGGGCAGAGCAGCAGGATGGAGCCAGTGCGGCGTGATACCATCTCATAGTAGCAAAGTGGACTAAGCAAGGGCATACAGGGTGTTCTATGAGTTGTGGGTTGTACTCCCTAGGAGCACGTACCTGTCTAGCCTATAACTAGACATACATTACAAATGTATAAGTTGACACCTCTTTCGTGCTGCTATTTCCCCTCAGCCCCTTTCTATTTCCTTCTTGCTCGCTTCCCACCGTACTTGACATTTGCTGCGGAAATCACGGGAAAAAAATACGAAGAGGGTCTAAAGCCGGCTACACTAGAAAGGGGAGTGTCTTGTTAGTCGATTACCATAATAAAATACCTACCTGCCAAAAACACCCTATGCATGCCCCCGGATTGGTTTTGAACCACCCTGATTGATGAGGGTCGACTTGAAAAAGACAATACTTTTTGACAGGGTCGGTACCGGTTTCAACTCTGATGCATCAGGGTCGTGTGTGCTTTGGACACTGATGACACTGATTTCCCCAGAGTGAACGTGTTTTTGAAGTCTCCTGTGCAGTAATAAACAAGGCCGAGAGCATGACATTGCCTCTAAAAGCATGTTTTTACAGTTTCGAAACTCGTCAAGTTCCAGAACTTGGGTTTCATAAGAGCGTATTCCTACTTTTGAGTGTTCAGTACCAGGAAACCAGCCTCGCAAAGTACCGAATCGAACCGCACAGGAATTCGCGTTTCGACATTCGGACCTCAGTGCTTCGCGTTTCAGACTCGAAATTGGGTTTGCTGGTACGGAACATGGTTCCCTACGGATACGCTCTAAGTTTCGCTTCGCTGCTCATCGCGACAAGGCTTCACGAATTCCTCTTCCCAAGCATAAATTTCGCCAATTCCGGAAGCAGTTCCGGAATTTCGAGAATGGGAACTGTACGACATACTCCCTAAGAACGAGGGGCAGGCCGCAGGTGACATCGTCGGCGTGATTGACGGGGGGAGGGGGGGGAGGATTTTGGGTAGGAATGTCAGCTCTGATTCGTACGCTGACTGGTTGCGGAGGACTCGGTCTTGTTCTTCTGGGTTCTGGTCTTGATTGGCTCTGGTCACTAGGCTGCGGGGGGTAGGGGGGGTACTGTAATTATGGCTTTGGGGGACGAGGTTGCGAGTTGCTCTAGCAGGAATATCTCTGGCTGTGGAGGACTTGGCCAAAATTCGCTGGGTTGCGAGGGGTGTGGGGGGGATGTCTATGGCTTTTGGGGACTCAGCCAAAATTGGCTGGTTGCGGCATGGTAGGGGGAGGGGGGAAGGGGGGGGGGAGGGGAGAGGGGGGTCACCCTGCCGTCGGTAGGGAAATTTCTGCTAATTTCGGAAGATCTTGTTTCAGGGTGCATACGCGATATGACACTGACGCATCTGTGTCAACCCACAAAAAAACTATGAAGAAACAGTGTCCTTCCATAAAACGACCCTGAAAAATCAGGGCTGACCCCCTACCCTAGGCTGAAAATTCTGGGTTGGTACATCAAAACACCCTTAAAATCAGCAAAATCATGAGAAAATTCATGAAATCCCTATGGGTGCTCAATAAAATCGGTCTTATATCCAGGCGTTTACGGGTAACTCATAATGACTCCAAGGATCCTTTAACAGAGAGACGAGCCACTGTTGACAATCTAGACTCACACGATAGTTCATTACTTGTTGGAAATACCTCGAAGACTTCAGCGTTTCTGAAGTATAACACCACAATCGAGGAAAGTCGTATCGGGTACGCGAGTCAACGGAGGTTATACGAAGAGGTTGGACGACAGAATACGAAAGGACGAAGGGACTCGAAGGGTCGCAACCGGAGGTTGCGATTGACCGTTGCGACTGCAAGGGTGGTAACCAAACTGACAATCGAGTCGCTGTGCGACTCGATAACTGTTCCTTCAACTGTATTCTACAACTGCTTCATTTCTTATTTTCTATATATTGCTGTATGCTTGTTTCTTTTAATCAATCACTTGCTCTCACATACTAGTGCAAGGGTTCAACTACTCAACACTTCCGCTGCACTACTCAAGCGTTTTGTACAAGTGGGACTTAGTCTCTGAAAAGGTCCTTAGGCCTTTTCTCAGCCCAACAATACTCATAACAAAATGTCGAGGCTAGGCACACTAGAAGACTAGCATCAGAGTCTGCCCTAGTTTCCCAGGTGCTCCTTGTTGAGTGATTTGCGACTTCTCTTCAGTGAGTATGTTATGATAGGCTCTCTGTCCACTATACCAATCGGACGTGCTTGCCCAACAAGGGCACCGCACTGCACGATGGGAAGCCCCCCTCCTTGACCTGCATGAGCCAACACTCCCAAAGCCCCCAGCGCCGTCTCACTGTGCACTCCGGCCGCCACTGCGCCTGTCCTCCTCGCGTCCCCTGCCTTGCCCATCACGTGCTCACCTCTACCACCCGCATCTGCCTCCACAACTTGCAGGGCTCCCACTACAGGAGAGGCTGCGTCATGCCTCGCAGGGCCCGCACTGCCGTGCACCCCTGCCCTGCTCTGCCCGGCATACACTCCAGCTGCCATCTGCTGCCGGTGCCATTCCTCCCACTCGTCCACCTCCCCTCTCCGCTTGCCTCCCCTCCCCTCCCCCACCTCACTCCCTCCCCTGCCCACCCCTCCCTTCACCCACCCCTCCTCCACACCCACTCCCTCCACTGCCCCCCCTTCCTCACCTTCCCAACCTCCACTATCGTCCTCCCCACCTGACCTCTCCCGCACCTCCAGGCCGCGCGCCGCAATGATGGCGGTGCGGCGCAGGATGTCCTCCATGGCCAGCCCGCGCGGCTTCCTGCGGCTCCTCTCGCGCTTCCCCTGCGCCGTCCACCGCACCGCACCCTCCTCGCCCTCCCCCCCCTCCACCGCCACCCCGCCCACACTGCCCCTCCGCTCCAGTGCTCCATCCGGCACCCCCTCTGCCAGGTCCGACTGGGACGGCATGTGAGGGTCGCAGCTGTGCGCTGCTGCATGTGGGGAGACATGTGGGTGGTGGTTATGGTGGTGGTGGTGGTGGTGGTGGTGGTGGCGGTGGTGGGGGTGGTGAGAAGGCGCAGAGGGGTGTGCATGGTGGGAGGGGTGCAGCTGCTGATTGTGCCGAGGGTCATCATGGCAAGGGTGGATCTTGACCTCGTCACGCCCATCTTTCCCACCCCCCTCCTCGTCCCACCCACTCTGCTCATGCCTATGGCGCTCCCGGTGGCTCTCAGCATTGCGGTGTGGATGCTGCTGCAGCTGCTGCTGCCCCAGTCCATGGCCTGGGCGGCGCGCATACCCATCCGCACCACGGCCACCCTCATCCCTCACCATCCCCTGCTCCCTCTCATCATCCCTCTCCCTGTGCGTCGCAGCACCCGGCTCTTCCCCTCCCCCACTGCCGCTCAGGCTACCACCAGTGGGAAGCAGCTGAGCAGCAGGCGGGCAGACCGAGGGGGCAGAGTGGGCAGGGGTTGGGCCAGGGGGGAGGGAGGGGCGAGGGCCGGCGAGAGCCCAGGGCTCGAGGTCATCGTCCGACCCCGCCTCCATGTCCCATGCGCTGCGCTCCTGCACCCCCTGCACCCCCTGCGCCCCCGCTGCCACACCTGCCGCCCCACTTGCCGCTCCACCTGCTTCTGGTTTCACTGCACTGCCATGCACCCGCCCCTCCTCACTCACCGCCTTCCTGCCTATACCACCGTCGGTTTTGTCCCTATACTTGGCTCGTTCGCCTGCCTGCTCCTGCCGCTCCCCCCTGCCACCCATATCTTCCCCACCAGCTCCACTCCCCTCTCCCCCTCTGCTCTCCCCTCCCCACTCCCCTCGCTCCTCCTTGGCCATCTGCCCCTCCCTCTCACCATGCCCTTCCGCCGTTCTGCCTGCTGCCATCCCCGCTGCCTGAGGGGTGGGTGAAGGTGCGCCAGGCAGCCCACCGTGCACTTGGGATGGCGCCACAGCAGCACGATTGCTCGTTGGTGCAGGGGGCGCTGAGGTGAATGGGGATCGGCCAGCAAGGCTGGAAATGGGCTGCTGCTGCTGCTGCTGCTGCTGCTTCTGCTGCTGCTGTGGCACAGGTGAAGGCTGTGGTGGCGCAGGCCCCCTCTGTCCCACACCCCTCGCCCCACCTGCATCAACACTCACCTGCTCGCCCCCTTGACTGGTGGGCACTGCTGCATGCAACGGGGCCTCTGCCACACTCGGAGCAGCCTTTCCTGCTACGCCAGCACAGGAGGGTGGCGGGGGCAAGAGGGAAGCAGGCAGCGGCTTGGAGAAGATGAAGACGGCGAAGAGACCTGCAGAGGGGCGGAGGGCAGGAGAGCGGTGGGAGGCATGAGAGCAGTGGGAGGCATGAGAGCGGTGGGAGGCATGAGAGCGGTGGGAGGCATGAGAGCGGTGGGAGGCATGAGAGCAGTGGGAGGCAGGAGAGCGGTGGGAGGCATGAGAGCGGTGGGAGGCATGAGAGCGGTGGGAGGCATGAGAGTGGTGGGAGGCATGAGAGCGGTGGGAGGCATGAGAGCGGTGGGAGGCATGAGAGCGGTGGGAGGCATGAGAGCGGTGGGAGGCAGGAGAGCGGTGGGAGGCATGAGAGCGGTGGGAGGCATGAGAGCCGTGGGAGGCATGAGAGCGGTGGGAGGCATGAGAGCGGTGGGAGGCATGAGAGCGGTGGGATGCATGAGAGCGGTGGGAGGCAGGAGAGCGGTGGGAGGCAGGAGAGCGGTGGGAGGCATGAGAGTGGTGGGAGGCATGAGAGCCGTGGGAGGCATGAGAGCGGTGGGAGGCAGGAGAGCGGTGGGAGGCATGTGAGCGGTGGGAGGCATGAGAGCGGTGGGAGGCAGGCATGAGAGCGGTGGGAGGCAGGCATGAGAGCGGTGGGAGGCATGAGAGCGGTGGGAGGCATGAGAGCGGTGGGAGGCATGAGAGCGGTGGGAGGCATGAGAGCGGTGGGAGGCATGAGAGCGGTGGGAGGCAGGAGAGCGGTGGGAGGCATGAGAGCGGTTGGAGGCATGAGAGCGATGGGAGGCATGAGAGCGGTGGGGGGCATGAGAGCGGTGGGAGGCATGAGAGCGGTGGGAGGCATGAGAGCGGTGGGAGGCATGAGAGCGGTGGGAGGCATGAGAGCAGTGGGAGGCAGGAGAGCGGTGGGAGGCAGGAGAGCGGTGGGAGGCATGAGAGCGGTGGGAGGCATGAGAGCGGTGGGAGGCATGAGAGCGGTGGGAGGCATGAGAGCGGTGGGAGGCATGAGAGCGGTGGGAGGCATGAGAGCGGTGGGAGGCATGAGAGCGGTGGGAGGCATGAGAGCGGTGGGAGGCATGAGAGCGGTGGGAGGCAGGAGAGCGGTGGGAGGCATGAGAGCGGTTGGAGGCATGAGAGCGATGGGAGGCATGAGAGCGGTGGGGGGCATGAGAGCGGTGGGAGGCATGAGAGCGGTGGGAGGCATGAGAGCGGTGGGAGGCATGAGAGCGGTAGGAGGCATGAGAGCAGTGGGAGGCAGGAGAGCGGTGGGAGGCAGGAGAGCGGTGGGAGGCATGAGAGCGGTGGGAGGCATGAGAGCGGTGGGATGCATGAGAGCGGTGGGAGGCATGAGAGCGGTGGGAGGGATGAGAGCAGTGGGAGGCAGGAGAGCGGTGGGAGGCAGGAGAGCGGTGGGAGGCATGAGAGCGGTGGGAGGCATGAGAGCGGTGGGAGGCATGAGAGCGGTGGGAGGCATGAGAGCGGTGGGAGGCATGAGAGCGGTGGGAGGCATGAGAGCCGTGGGAGGCATGAGAGCGGTGGGAGGCATGAGAGCGGTGGGAGGCATGAGAGCGGTGGGATGCATGAGAGCGGTGGGAGGCATGAGAGCGGTGGGAGGCATGAGAGCGAGCACGTGTTGAGCCAAATGTGATCGACATCACAGGTGAGGCACCTGGGAGAGGCGAGCGGGGGAGAGGCAAGCGGGGGAGAGGAGAACGGGGGAGAGGAGAACAGGGGAGAGGAGAACAGGGGAGAGGAGAACGGGGGAGAGGAGAACGGGGGAGAGGAGAGCAGGGGAGAGGAGAGCAGGGAGAGGAGAGCAGGGAGAGGAGAGCAGGGAGAGGAGAGCGTGGACGAATGAGACATGGGTGCGTGGCATGTGCAACGAAGGAGCATGGCACAGGGCAGCAGCACCACGTACCATGACATGAGCAACATGCATCATGACATGAGCAACATGCGTCATGCCATCGGCTGCACTGACTCATGAGGTCGCGCGCCGAGTTGGAGAGGTGCAGCTGGCTCACGTCACCCGCCACGCAGCAGGGGGCACCTGCACCCGCTGCTGCTGCTGGTGGCGCAGCGGCGTCGCAGCGAGGGTCGGGGTGGAGGTGCAGGGCGGAGGGACAGATGTCGGCCAGCAGACGCAGCGTCTGAGGGCTTCTGAATGGTGGGGCAGGGCAGGGAGGAGGAGGGAACATGAATGTGGTGCACTGCAGTGTGGTGCACTGCAGTTTGGTCCAGCTACAGTGTTAGAACGTAACCTGTTACAGTGTTAGAACGTAACCTGCTACAGTATTAGAACGTAACCTGCTACAGTGTTTTGGTGCACTGCACTGTGGTGCACTGCAGTTTAGTGCACTGAAAACGGGAGTAGAAAACTGCAAGAGACATGGCATTGAAGCATACCTGGTGTCATTGCTTGCAGCATACCTGATGTCATTGCTTGCAGTGCACCTGGTGTCATTGCTTGCAGCGCACCTGGTGACATTGCTTGCAGCATGCCTGTTGTCATTGCTTGCAGCATACCTGGTGTCATTGCTTGCAGCGCAATTGGTGTCAATGCTTGCAGCGCACCTGGTGTCATTGCTTGCAGCACACCTGGTGTCATTGTAAAGCGTCTCCAGGTTGATGATGTCGATAAGTCGCAGCCCTGCTGCCTCTGCCAGCCTGCAGGAACAGCATGCACAGCATGCACAGCATGCACATCATGCACACCATGCACACCATGCACAGCATGCACAGCATGCACAGCATGCACACCATGCACAGCACGCGCACCATGCGCACCATGCTAGCCATGCACAGCATGCACCAACAAAATTACGCACACTGGCACCTAACAATGAAAGAACGCGCCTGAAGAAAGCAAGTCGTGAAGAACAAGGGTAAAGATGCTGACCAAGCTGACGAAACTAGCTTAGAAGAGAAAAGATTGAATTGAGTAGGGAGTCAAGAGGCTCTTTTGTACAAAACAAGGAGCAAGGAAGAGTTGGAAGGGAAGCTCTCCTATTGGCCATAAAGTGGACCAATGGGAGAGGTTGCTTGTAGGGCAAGCAACCACAAAGTGTGGTGCTCTCTGATTGGCCACAATGTGGACCAATGAGAGAGATTGCTTGGAAGGCAAGCAACCACAAATTGTGGTGCTTGGTGATTGGTTGGTTCCTAGGACCAAGGACCATTTGGTTGGAATAGTGCCAACCAAATGTCTAGGACAAAATCCAATCTTGACCAACCCAAATGTGGGACTGGTCAACCCAACCAACAACCCCCCAATAATAATAATGACTACACCTCCCAATCTAGGCATGCATGTTGTATAGATATATATTTTACAACACAACCCCCCAACATGCATAAGACTAGAAGGCTTGAATCAGGAGGCGGACGAGGGAACGGGGGGAGCGAGTCCAAGAAGGCGAAGGAGGGATGAGTGGGTGGCGTGGGGGAGGGCTTTGGTGAAGATGTCGGCAAGATTGGCAGCAAAGTCAATCTTGCGCAGCTGGAGGTGGCCACCCTGCACAAGCTCGCGAATGAAGTAGTGGCGAAGCTCAATGTGCTTGGAGCGCCCGTGGAACACAGCATCTTTCGTGAGGTCGATGGTGCTGGCGTTGTCGCACCGTAGGGGTGGGAGGAGGAGGAGGGGGAGGTGAGGGGAGTGAGGTGGTGCCCAACAGGAAGAGGGGTGACCTGAGGGTTGCCTCGAGCCATGTCGAACCGCTCCAGGACCTGCTGCAGGTAGTGGCCCTGGGAGAGGGAGATGGTGCGAGCAGCACGGTCGCGTGTAATCTCCATGCCGAGATAGTGCTGCAGCTCTCCTAGATCCTTACACTTGAGCCGGCTGCCAAGCTCACGCTTGACGCGCTCGAGCTCGGCGGAGTCGGCAGTGATGAGGATCATATCGTCGACATAGACGAGGATGTAGAAGGGGGGGGGGGAGGTGTGGAGGAAGAGGCTGGGGTCAGCACGTGAGGTGCTGAAGCCAAGCTCGGCGAGGGTGGCAGCAAGCTTGGCATGCCACTCCCTTGGTGCCAGCTTGAGCCCATACACCGGCCGACGCAGCTGCCAGACAGAGTCGGAAGGAAAGGGGAGGTGGAAGCCTGCAGGATGTTCCATGTAAATGAGCTCGCGCAAGACCCCCTGGAGGAATCCGTTGGAGACGTCCATGGAGTGAATCTCCATGTTGAGGCGAGCGGCGAGGTCGAGGACTGCGCGAATGGTAGCGGGCTTGGCGGTGGGAGAGAAGGTGTCAAAGAAGTCGACAGCGTAGCGCTGGGTGAAGCCCTTTGCGACGTAGCGGGCCTTGTAGACCGGCGGCTCGCAAGGAAGCTGCTTCACCCGAAACACCCACTTCCCTTTGACCACGTTCGTGGTAGAGGGAGGGCGGGGCACATCCACAAAGGAGGAGTTGGCAATAAACGCCTCCAACTCCTTGAGGATGGCCGCGAGCCAGAGGTGAGCGTCAGGGCACACCATGGCCTCCTCGTACGTGGCGGGGACGAAGATGGTGGGGGCGGAGGAGAAGGCGAAGACTGGTGTGCCGCTGAGGGTCAGGAGAGATGGGTAGGAGGGCTGGATCATGCAGGTGGAGGTTGAGGAACTCCTCATGGGAGTCCTCGAGGAGGGAGGAGTGGAAAATGAATGGGAGGACTGCAGCTCCTGCTGCGGCTGCTGCTGAGGATGCATCTGCTGCTGCTGCTGCTGCTGCTGCTGAGGCGGCTGCTACTGCTGCATTTGCTGCCGTCGCTGCTGCTGCTGCGGGTGAAGGGGAGGAAGGAGCGACGGCTGCTGCTGCTGGTGCTGCTGCGGTGGGTGGAACTGCTGCTGCAGGTGTTGCTGCTGCTGTTGGGACTGCTGTACTGGAGCTCGACGGCAGGGTTGGGCTAGTGTTTTGTTGAAAGACTGTCTGAAAAAGGAGGTCCATGAGAGGTGAGAGAGGAGGCAAGGTAGAGGAAGAGAGGATAACACGAGGCGGGGCACCTATGACTGCGTCACGCGACCTAGTGTGGGGATACCGGGTGAGGATGGAGCGGGTGGGACGCAGGGGGGGAGGGGGTCGCGGGGGAGAGGGGGGAGGAGGAGAGGGGGGAGGAGGGGAGGGGGGAGGATGGGAGGGAGCGGAGGGGGAGGAGTGGGACGGGGAGGCGGGGGGAAAAAGAGGGTCAGGGTCAAATATGCCACCAGAGGAGGGGGGAGTGCTAGGGACCGAGGCAGCGGGGAATGGAGGAGGTGGAGCGGGGGGGAGGATGGGAGGGGGAGGGAGAAGTGGGGGTGGGATAGTGTCGGACCAGTTGAGGGGCCTGGGAGAAGGGGCGAGAGGGTCAGTGGGGGGAGGAGTGGAATAGTAGGGTGTGGACTCATCAAAGACTACATCCCGACTGCGGAGGAAATGACCTGAGGGGGGGTGAAGGAAGAGGTAGTCTGGGGAGGAGGGGTTATGACCAAGGAAGATGCAGGGGAGGGTACGGGAGGCGAGCTTTCCCATGGTACGGAGGCGGTCCGCAGGGTGAATGAGGACATACGCCCTGGAGCCCCACACACGGAGGGAGGAGACGTCAGGCTTGGCCGACGTCCAGAGCTCGGTGGGAGTGGTGGAGGGAAGGATAGGGTGGGGGTACAGGTTAGTAAGGAGGGTGGCGTGAAGGAGGGCATAGCCCCACTGAGAAGGGGGGCAAGAGGCATGGACGAGGAGACACCGAGCAATCTTGGTGATCTCCCGAACACGGCTCTCGGCCACACCATTCTGCTGGGGGGAGTGGGGGAGGGTGTGAGTCTGGCGAATGCCATGAAGCTCACAGTAGGAGGCTACCTGACGATTAAGGAATTCGCCACCGCCATCAGAGTGAAGGCGGCGCACAGGGCGGCCAAAGTGGGTGCTCGCTTGCTTGAGCCAGGCGATGATCGCAGCCGGAGCGTCACCCTTCGAGCGAAGAAGGGAGACGGACGAATATCGGCTGTGATCATCTACCAGAACAAGCATGTAGCGATGGCCCTGGCGGGAAGGGGAGGGGTTGGGGCCCCAGAGGTCCATGTGAACAAGATCAAGCGGCTGAGCAGCAGCGGAGGGGGAACTCTGATGCGGCTGCTGCTTGAGCTTGCCCTGGACACAGACGGAGCAGGGAGGGGCAAGGGAGGGAGGGAGGGGAGGGAGGGTGAGGGGAAGACCTCGAAGGAGACCTGAGGAGACGGTCGAGCGGAGGGTGGCAAAGTTGGGGTGACCAAGCCTGTGGTGGAGGAGGACGCTGGGATGGGAGAGGGATCGACAGGAGCAGGTTGGGTCCGGGGGGAGGGGGGGAATGGTTGGGTTAGAAGGAGGGAGAGGAGGGGGAGGGATGTGAGGTGGGGGGAGGGAGCGGGAGGCTAGCCTCGACACGCCAGGACATTCTACAAGATAGAATCACCCTGCGTATAGCCACGCGAGGCTATTGGCTTTAAGGGATTACGGCAGGATTACGCCAGATAGCGGACCAGTACATCCCAAGCCTGGTCGGTGATATAATTATAATAGCAGGATAAATCAAAGGTTAATGGAAAATGGAGAATAGGAAACCAAATGAGATGAGATAAAGAGAAATGAACGAGGAAGGAAATAAGAAAAGGGACAAGTGGTGTAACGGGGTCGTACTCTCACACTTCCCCCCCTCAAAGCTGGGTGGTAGAAGTAACACCCTGCTTGACAAGGTAGTCATGCAGAGGACGACAGGCGTTACCCATGTCGGACTCAGGTATCCAGCTGTCCTCAGAAGGATCATAACCCTTCCAACGGATGAGAAGCTCCACGGTGCCATTCCGACGACGGCGGTGTGCGAGCACGGACTCGACCTCGTACTCGAGTTCATTCTGGACGAGGACGGGCGGTGGCGGCGGCGGTTGGCGTCCCACGAAAATCGTGTTCGGGTCCCGATAGGGCTTCAGAAGTTGGACATGGAGGCGTTGTGAATCTTCCAGGTAGCGGGCAGGCGTAAGCGGAAGGTAACAGGAGTGACCTGTGCTTCAACGAGAAAAGGCCCGCAGAAGCGAGGTCGAAGTTTAGATGGGAGGTGGCTGATGTCCAGGTTGCGGGTGTCAAGAAGCAACTGATCTCCCACTGTGATGGTGTGGTCGTTGCGATGGCGATCGACCTGACGCTTTTGTTGCTGCTGAATGTCGAGGAGGCGCTTGTGGGTCCGATCCCAAAGCTGATGCATGGTTGTGATGAAATCATGTGCTGGTTGGACTGTAGCTGATGCTGTCGGTTTCTGTGGTGTGAGTGGGTGGCGTCCGTAGCAGAGGAAGAACGGCGTCTGTCCAGTAGAGGCATGTGTAGCATTGTTGTAAGCAAACTCTAGTACGGGCAGGTGCAAGTCCCATTTGGAGATCTCGTCCTTGCAGGCTGCTCGGAGTAGTTGCTCAACAATTTGGTTGAGGCGCTCGGTCTGTCCATCTGTCTGCGGATGGTAAGCAGATGACATGGCGAGTTGGGTCCCGAGGAGAGACATAAGTTCCTTCCAGAACTTGCTGGTGAACTTGGGGTCTCGGTCGGAAATGAGTGTGGTTGGGATGCCATGCTGTGAGATGATGTGACGAACGAAGAGCTGTGCTGTCTCTTCGGTGCGTGCCGTCGTGTGTGTCGGGATGAAGTGTCACATTTTGGAGAACTTGTCAATGACGACAAGGATTGCGTCATGACTGCTG